CCTGCCCCTCCGGCGCACCCTGCGGATACGAGTCGTTCTACGGTGTTGTAGTGCTGGAGGGTCCCCTGAGCTGGTGTGAAGGATGGGGCGGTCTCTCTTTATTGGCTGCAGGAAGGTGGAAATAAAATGCTTCACGTGGCAGGAGGTGGCTGCAGTAGAGATCCCGCAGTGACCTCCTGGGAGGCAGATCCTCTCATTACCCTGGACTAACATCACCTTGCTGGGTGGCAGTTCTCGCTCTTGTTTTCCCATTGAAGTCTGCCACTCTTTGTTTTCTATCTTTTTTCTTGGGAGGGGAGCATGAGAAGTAGGTTAGGTTAAGACATACCAGCATCTGGATGTAGGTGGGGAAAGGAGATTTTTCTTTGTTGATACTCTGCAAATTAGATGAGAGTTTTCTGATTCAGGATTGAAGTCTTACTGTCAGTTTCTAATGCTGTCTGAGCAGAGCAGCATTCTGTGTGAGCGTTTGGACTCTGCTTCCAGTTTTACAGGGCTGTTTAACTTGTGCTGTATTTTTCTGTTGTAAATAGCTCAGACAAAAGACAGACCTGTGTTCGTCTTGTCAAAGGTGGAACCAAACTTTTAATCCAGACTTGCCCTGCTTTGCTTTTAGCAGTTTGTATTAAAATGGGTTTGGTCCAAGGTGTAGGTCGTCTCTTTTTCACTCATCTGTGACAGATATCTCAGCAGCTGTGGAGAGCCGCAGGGGAGCCAGTCCATCCAGGAGCTTCGCCTCAGGCGGCTGTGCTGCCCAAGGCCATGCCTTGAGATTCAGTGATCTTTTAATGCCTGTTTGTGCAATAGGAATGCTTTATTTAGGCCATATTAATGTTTTTGTTAGGCTCAGACCACCAAGCTCTGCCCTAGCAGTGTGCAGAACGGTTGTGCGGCTCTTCCATTCTATATATAGAAACAATCTCTCCTTTTGAGGATTGACAATCCTTAAGCCGTGGTCTCTCCGGTAATGAACTGTATGGTGGGAGTTTATAGCTTGGATCCTTTTGGAGCTGCCCTCAGATCTGGGATTTACAGTGGAAAGACTCAATTTCCTCTTGCCAGACATCTGGGCTGTTTATTCCAGCTCAGATCTACTTTGTAAAGCACAGCTGACTGCAGGAAGAGATATCTGCTAAATTAACAACCTGTTTGGGAGGATAAGACTTACGCTGCAGATAAATCTATTTGGAAACCGCTTTTTTCACTGTGTCCCCTTTCTTCTGGTATCACCTCACACTTCTGGAAGAGTCTTATCCATACAGTATTTGTAATTGTATCCCTGAGATGATATAATAGTGATGATCGTTGCTAGACCCTTCCGAGCTTTGTTTGAAAGGAGATGCAAACAAACCCAATAAATTATAGGAGAATAATGGGAAATAAGGGCATGCACTTGCCTAGGCCCATTGTGTATGGCCTGGCGGTTCCAAATCAACTACTAATGTTGTGTCTTCTAAGCAGTTGGCTGTCCCAGATCTTGCTACAGTCCTAATCATCCCCTGTTCTGATATCAGTGTAGCGAGGTGATATTCGTGCAGTTCACAGGGAGGAAGAAGCATGTAGGAGCTTAATGGGGAAGAATTTATCCACTTCATGAACTGAAATGAGTAGTTGGGGGCGGGGAGGGGGGGCTGGCAAAGGCAAACAAAAATAAATCTGTGTGGCTCTATGAAGTTCTGAAAGGCTGAGTGATGGCAGCCTGTTTTCCACAGCAAAAATCTCTTTCCTAGTCTTCATTCTGCTATGTTTTTTTTTCCCCACGTGGAATGGTGGTTTTCATACAGCGCTTTTGCTGTGGTGTGTTTTGGAAGTCTGCAGTGAATGTTTGCTGGGCTGCTAGAAGGCAATGCTGAACCTCTGCTATTCTGTTCTTCCAGAAACATGCAACATGGCAGCAGCCATGGAAACTGAACAGCCGGGCCTTGAAATCTTTGAAACTGCGGGCCGTGAGGAGCAGGTCCAGAGAGGGGAGCAGCCAAAACTGGAACCTTTCTATGTAGAGAGACATTCCTGGAGCCAGCTTCGGAAACTGCTCACAGATACGCGGAAGTATCATGGGTACATGATGGCAAAAGCCCCTCACGACTTCACATTTGTGAAGAAAAATGATCCTGAAGGACCTCATTCCGATAGGATCTACTATCTGGGTAAGCTTGCTGGACAGCCTGTGTCTTGACTGAACAGTCACTGCAGAGGCTGTTTGGGTTTTACTGTTCTTGAGAGCTGGATGTTTCTGGCAGTTAAATCAGAACGGATTTCAGGCCAGATTGGCTGGTCAAATGTCATGATCATGATTGTAATGTCTCATTAAAACTTGCGATGTAATCTCCCACAGCAGTGGTGTGGTTGGAGGTGACCCATTAGGCCTGTTGGAGCTGGAAAAGAACTGTGAAGTGTCCCTTGGGGCAAGTTCCCTAGCTGGGAGGACAGGTTAAGTTTGTTCGGTCTGTTTTCTCTCACTCCAAGTGTGATATCGCCTCTCCAAAAGTGTGTCAATTTGATCTCCTTTCTCTTAATTACAACTATTGGGTAGAAGCTTTTTCTCTTTCAAAGTTTCCTCCAAAACAGAGATTATAAATGGAATTTTGAAAGTCCTTTGTGCCTCAGCTGATGATGGAGTAGGTTTTCCAGGGATTCTGGAG